CAGTAGGTAGAAGATCAAATTTTTAAATTAAATATTATAAATATATATATAAATATAAATACTTATAAGACTAAAGCAAATAATTGAAAATATTCTTATTATAAAGGAATATTTTTTAATTATTTATTATTTTTAATTAATATTTATAACTAATATTATATTATATTTATTATTTATTATTCATTACTTAAAGATAGGAATAAAATACGCACGGGGTGGTACGCAGATCTTAGATCAACCATTGAATAATAACGAAGTTTATGAGGAATACTCAAATTAGTTAGTGAGATGGGTAGAACTCTGCAGAAACCCCCCAGCCATCATAGAGTAAAAGTGCCCACATGCACTAACTCGGAAAAGGCTCAACATTAAAATACAATTTTAAAAATAAATCGCTCTAAAATGCGAAATAATAAAATATATATGTAAAAAAAGTGCTACGTAACTGCACTAAAATTATTTACTAAGGTAAGTAAAAATTCTAGTGAAGAATTTTTAAAGAAAACCTTTGTACAACCATTTTCAAATCAAGCGGTAACAAAATCATATGCTAACTTTATAGAGAATCTGTTACATCGGTCTTAAATGTGCAAGAGACTGAATTATTTCCGCTATCTGCAACTGACGCCTTAGTACGAGTTTAAAAATGTATTCTTAAACTAAAAAAAAATATTAATACGAATTTAAACTATATAAATTATACTCGTTACACTTTATTACGGGTTTGTGTCAATAAATTACTTATGTAAATAAATTAATTACTTTTATTAAAACAAAAATAAACGAAGGTTATTAAAAGAATCCAAACGACTTAAACACCAATCGCAGCGATTACATATGCCAATAATTAAAGACGTGACTTATTGAATGAAATCGAAAGTTGAGTCTGTGCATTGCATTATCTGCAATGAAGGGAATAATTATCTATGCTAACAATAGAACTGGAATTGCATAAGTTAATACTTGACAAGTTATGCGAGTTTGAAGTCCAAGTCATTCGATGAAATACGAGTGTTATAAGCATCAATTTTTATCACATACATTAAGACTGAAAAGTTTTCGGAAATTCTCATTTAAAATTCGCGCGCTGTATATTTTTCGATATTTTAAGTTTATGTAGTTTGGCAGCACTGTCCTTAATTACTATGCCAAAAATGAGCTCGATCTGTCAGACAGTTCGTTTACGGCAGCTGTTGAAACCAGTTCACCTCAGTAGTGCGTTGCGAAATGTCTTCGACGGTCGTACGACCGTCCTGGAAGGCTTTGTACCACTCATAAACTTGAGTTTTCGATAAAACTGATTCCCCATAAGCCTTTTGTAGCATTCGCAACGATTCTGCACACGAAATTTCGTTCGAAACACAAAATTTGATGCAAACTCTTTGTTCAATATTTTTTTCCATTGTTTTTTTCGCAACGCCCTACTGAGGTGAACTGGTTTCAACAGCTGCCGTAAACGAACTGTCTGACAGATCGCGCTCATTTTTGGCATAGTAATTAAGGACAGTGCTGCCAAACTACATAAACTTAAAATATCGAAAAATATACAGCGCGCGAATTTTAAATGAGAATTTCCGAAAGCTTTTCGGTCTTAATGTAAAAGTGTCTTTTAAGAATTTAAAAAAATTATATTCTATCTCTTAATAAGAATACATGAAGTTATTAAAATAAACATCTATACATGTATTTGCACAAAATAAGATTAAAAATATATCTAACAATTAGTAAGTACATCTTCGTAGTGGTGGTTTTATAAATTTTATAAATATGGATAAGTGTAATGTGACGGTTCTGTTCAGTGACCGAAATATCAGTTTGGTAAGTAAGAACAATGGAAGAGGTTGGTAGACTTAATAATTAATAAACCAAACTAGTTGTGAGAATACAGATAAGTTAACTATAATTTAGCCGAATCTTTCGAATCTTTCAAGATATGCATAACAGACATAATAATCATCTGCCTTAAGATGAGAGGGAATTAATTATTTTACTTCTATGGTGTTCTATGAATAGCTGGCTCAATAGAAAGAAGTTCGAAAATCTTAGGAAGCAGTGTCTGTAACTTTCAATGCCATGGAACACAATGAATCCTAAGTTCAGCTTTACTAAGCTTTTTAGAACTGAATTAAGGAACAGAAGAAGCTGGGAGGGCATCAATCAAATCTACCCGCTAACAAATAGCACAATCGCGTGGTTTACTGACGGCTCGCTTACGGAGGAATGTGCCGGAGCGGGTATAGTCGAACCAGGCAAGAAGCACTGGGAAGCGCTGGGGAAAAATACTAGCATCTCTCAAGCGGAAATTTAAGAAGTTTTAAAATGCGTACTCATCAATATTGAACGGAATTACCAGGATAAAAATATTGCAATACTGACAGACAGCCAAGCGGCGCTCAAGGCACTGAACTCGCATCGGATGAATTCAAGACTGGTGGTAGATTGCCTTGATAAGCAAAATCTGCTTGGCGTAACAAATCAGGAGTCAATTCTTTGGGTACCGGGACATACTGGCGTAGGCAAAAACGAATACGCGGACAAGGTAGCCAGAAAATGAGCAACCACACCGATGATGGGGCCGGAATCTTTTGTGAACTAGGATATAATATGCTCCTTTCTCTCATTAAAATAAAAGAGAACCAGAATAAAAAGGACTACTGGGATAATATACCAGGATTAAAACAATCCAAATCACTTATTGGTATTAATAACAAGAGATATCAGGATTGCATGAACCTATCAAAAGAGAAACTTAGAATCATCACCGGAATCCTAACAGAGCACTATAGACTAAAACACCACCTCACAAAACTGGGTATACTTATGGATGCATTCTGTGAAGAGAATGAGAAGTCGGCCACACATGTGCTGTTAGAATGCCCTGCGCTAATGCACATACGAAATAGGTTTCTAGGAATGTATATTCTTACGGAAAAGGCAATAAAACTCTGTAAAGTAGATTCTATACTGCATTTTATTGACGCAACAACGCAAGTAACGCAAGGAGGGACCGTTACGGTGAATGGCGTCGTTATTGAGCCATGCTGACTGAATTTTTGTCTCTAAAAATTAATCAGTTAAACAACGACGGCATTTGTTTCCAACAAGACAATGGAATTTGCTATACAGTGCGGTTAACAATCGATTTATTGCGAAATCAATTTTTTTTCCAGAAGTGGTCCTGTTAACTGGCCCCCTTGTTCGTTTAACGCTTCTCGATTACTCTTTATGTTTATAGGGCTATGTTAAATCATTGGTTTCTGCCGACAAATCAGCAGCCTGTTGAAGCATTGAAGCCAATGTTCATACTTTCAGTGACGCCATACAGACACATTTATTGCGAGAAATAGTCAAAAATTGGGCCGAACGAATGAACCATATAACTCGTAGCCACAGCGGACTTATGCCGGAGATCATATCCAAAAAGAAAATGACATCAAGTTATCTACTAGATTATAATAAAATATATTTCATTCCAATAATATTTCTTTCTGTCTTGTATATCATAAGTTCTCATACAGCTAAAAAACAACCTATATGAGGACTAACATAAACATAGAGTTTGTTTTAATATCATTAAGAAATTTACCACACTTCTTTAACCATCCCATAGTAAGTATGTAAATAGTTTTATTAGCAAACATTATTAGTTTTATTATGTCAACTGTACTCAACTTCTCTTTTTAACATACGAATTTAACCCTTTGTGTGGGGAGACCTGAATAGTGATACAATAAATGTCCAATAATTTTTTCTATACTTATTGCTTTTACAGAAGTCTCTACTGAGGGGACTCAATCTAATCGCATGCATATCTATTAAGCAATAATCAGTAAAGATAAATACAAATAGATTGACATTAAATTTCAGAAGTATTTCGTTATCTTATATCATATTGTATTTTCGGTTAGAATTGCTATGATATGTGACAGTAATAAAGTTTAAATGATCATATTGAGGTCTCGAAGGATAATATAACATTATATTTAAATTTTATAGAAAAATATACTTAATTTGGTAATTGGTTCGCTAGGCAAAGAGATGAGAAAGGAAGAGAATGCTTGAAGATTATTCACTTTTCTATGTAATTCACTTTATCCATGTATATTATTTAAGAATAATTTTCCCGATTGGAGTTTTCTGAAATTTAAACAGTATTTCAGATTAAATTGATTTTTAACTTTCGTTTTGACAAAAGCAACTAAGCTCTTAATATAAACTATTGTTTTCAGTACATAGGTGCTTACGGAAGCGTCGTGAATTGTAGCAACAAAAATTTTTATTATTTTATTTTTTCTTTATTTATTTGAATTTTTGGGTGACCATATATGTGTTTCGATTGTTACTAAATACCAATCAACAGTGGTCTTTTGGAATTAATTTTTGTATTTATTTATTCCTTATTTATTGTTTTTTTTGAGTACAAGTACCAACTCCTGCCTGGTTGAACTCTTGCCCTGCCAAATTTGAAGCTCAGAGTCAGTGTTCATTAGCCAACTACTTGACTTGTATGTCATTTTTTTTTTACTGACTTGACTTGTATGTTCGAACTTGGAGTTTCATTAATTTTCTGTAAAAGTTCATTAACAAATTCACTTGCTGTGTTATATTATTTTTTATATTTATATTTTATATTATTACTTTTTCATACAACTTAATTTACTTAATCTAGGAACGTAAAACGGAGAGAGTCATGCTAATGTTACTTCATGATTCGCTCAGCTTAAATTGGAAAGTTCAATAAATTGATTTATATTCATATTTTATTTCATAATTATTCTAAATTATTTTTTTATAATATAATTATTAATAATAATCCTATAGTAAACGGTATTTTAGTTGAAAATGTGCATGTTCAAGTATTCAAACTAACTTAATATTCTGTATTATTTAATTATTAATTATTAATATATATATATACGTATTTATCATACATATAATATATATAATAATTATATAATATATACCATATATATTATTTATTATGCATTTATTTAAAACAATTTAAATATATATTTTTTTTAATATTGTCGTTATAACTATAATTAAAGTAAGTCGGAAGACTTAAATTCCATTGTGGTACTTGGTATTTTTTTTCAAACTGTCATGCTTACTAGACCACCAGATATAAATATCGCCAACATATTTAAATATATCAAATGCTAGCCAAGAGCTAAGCAATGGCACTAAAGTTTTCAAAAGTTTCACTTTTATGTTACTTAATTTATTTGCTGTTTACTCAGTTCTGCTCAAATATCTCAATTAATAAAATTAACTTGCACTCGGTTGCCAATTAATTATTTATTCACAATATTTTAATTTAATTTAAATAACAGACAACACAACGATTAATATTGTTTTGACCACAATGTCCAATAGTTGCCAACACCGTTTCTTTAGTCGTTTTAGCATTCTTAATAGGTTCAAGTTTATGGGTAGAGAAGGCAAAGTACTAATCAACACGTCGCACTCCGTTCGCTCGTATGACAATTCCAATCTACACAAATAACTATATATATGTGTAGTTATTTTTAAATGGTACTGACCATTGTATAATGCGGCGATCTGATGGTGTTTCTGACGCCCACATAAGCAACTTGTCACCACTGGCCGTTCCTACAGTAGTTATGTCCGTTATGGACTAACTGATAAGACAACTAATTATTTCCTCTCCCATGCAACAAGCTCAGCTCATTGTTGTGAGTTTATAAATTAATGTGCTGAAACAAATTATTAATTATTAATTGCAAATCATTTATTTATAAATTTGTATACAAATATAATGTATTTAATATTTGAATTATAGAAGTACTTAAGTACCCGATCAGTTGCACTTGCAGTTTGACACACGCGTCGGCCGTTCTCAAGTGGTAGCGTGCTTTTGAATTAATTGGTCACTGTTGTTATGCTCTGACTTTGCTTGGAGGACAGATCATCCAACCTAATCTGCACTTCTGGTTAATTAAGTCAATTGAAGTAGTGGCGGCGTATGTGGGTGTGCTGAGCGGCTGCCAATTGTCAGTTAAATGAATTAAAAAGGATTTGATTAATTAACTGTATTAAGCTCTGCACCACAACAGGATTGGAGGAGGAAATTCTGTTTAAGAAATGTTAAAAAAATATCTCATTTAAATTATTTATTTGATCAACATACTTAAGACCTAATTAATTAAATTATTTATTAAAATTTCAATCGATTTGTTCTGATAGATTTAATATGAATCAGAATTTACTGTTATATAAAAATTATATACGTCTAACTGAATATTTAATGCGAACTTATTGATTCTGCAAGTCATTAATAAAGATTAGAATTTAAAATCGATTAATTGCTTCTTTTAACGAACTTAACACTACAATAAGAAACATTTAAATATAGTAATAAAAGAAATGTTTAATCTCTTTTGTAGACAGACTAGAGATTGAGGTTCAATATAATGCTGTTATTTTTCAAATAAACGTTTTACAAATAAAAGAATATATATATAATTTTATAGTAATATATGTAAGGGTTGTACACCCAAGGATAATCCTCATACAAATCTGTGTACTGATGCCTTATTGTAGAATTAGTTAGTCCACAAAGGGTCACGGGTTCGTCGAAATTGGCTCTTTTGGGCAGAGTGTCACAAAAATAGTAATAATTTGCTACTAAAAGACACAAATGTTGACATTTATTATTGACACTACATTGCCTAAATACCGAGCTACAATTAACCTTGGCTCTCACGACCAAATTTGAACCGACATATTATTTTATCTCTCTTTCTCGATTTTATCATTTGTAGTAAAAACAACCATTTTGTTTGTGGCGAATCGATGACACTCCACATAATATGACCAAAATTTGTCTCTGATTAATAACGGAATATGTATCAAAAGACGCTACTACTACTGTAGTATGACACAACACGTTATCGGTAGACTGAAGTATTGGTATATTCTCAAAACAAGATTTTCGTCTTGAATAGAATAAGATCTATGTTGTTTACATACAAGAGAACTGATAACTTACCTTTACCTATACTGCCATCTTAATATGAACGTTCTGTCTGAAGTGTTAGAATATGACCTCAACCTGATATATAAGGCATAAGAACTTCTTTATGACGCTTCTATTTTCATCTGAAATAGAAAAAGATATGATAAATGATAAAAGGACTTCATGAGATTTATTCTGGCCTTGATTCAGCTTCTATTTTCATCTGAAATAGAAAAAGATATGATAAATGATAAAAGGACTTCATGAGATTTATTCTGCCCTTACTAGCATAAAAAATTGAAGCCTGTAGAATATGATCATTGTACTTCGCATCGCAGAGGGCCTAAAAATTCGTTATATTGTGTTTTATTCTGCTGCTATGTTTGAAGCCCATAGAATTGATAAATAAAGAGCATAACTTATAATTACCAATGTATAACAACTATTGAATAACATAAGCAATCGTTTTCTTATGTTTTTAATAAGCAATTAACCTGAAAAATCTGGAAGATAATGTGTCATCATATGTTCTGTGCAACATATGCTTTGAAAGTTATAGACCTCAATATAGATCAACAAATTCAGACACATTTGAAATAAACGCGTTAAGAACAAATGCAGAATAGATACCACAAAATACAAAAACCAAAGTCGAAGGTTAACAATATAGATGAGATCGTATACTGTGCTATATACATTGACCGGCTTATAAAAATAGTGCAAGCATTCAAAGTAAACTACCAATAACGACAAAGTGGACACCAAATATTCCATACATCTAATTTAACCGAGCACCAATATTCCATACTACAATTTGAAAACAGATGGAGAAGTACTTAATTTACCAATTTGAATATATAATACATAGAATAACTATAGCCAATATCCTGCTAATTTTTAGACAATATTATGTATGTGTAACTACATTCCAGAGTAAAAAAGGATGTTTGAAGAGCTTTTCCTTAAGACGCAATAACTTCACTACTATCGCTTAACTGTCAAGGATTTTTACAGTACATCATTAACAAATTTATATTATCCACGCATATAATTATCAATAAATGGTCTCACTATAATTATAATGTCCTTTTTAATTTGGACTGCATGTTTACTGCATATATATACTCAGCACACTATTGTGATATATTGATACTACGACCACTCTCTAGTCCAGCATACCCCTTATGTAGGTTCGCTGGATAGTTATCGATGACCTTGCAGGTTATGGCATTTTCTTATTGAACATCCGGTGTACATATATAGCCTTATATATATATCCAATGACTACTTTGCTGAATTCCATATAAACTATTATTTAATAGCACTAAGCACTAGAATTAACGAATTTCTTCTCATTGGTAGCTGGTTTTGGAACAATATATAAAAAGCATTTGCTACATACTTCGCACCCGTATGTAAGAATTGGGCTTATAGATTGCGAACTCTGGAACTCTGTGCTTTGATTGAATCATATTATACCATTACCAGACAGTCCCGAAGACAAAATATAATTATTTAAATTATTGTAAGTTTTAATAACAGATTATCTCTTTATGAACTGTTTATTATTAAATTTGGTCTTTGATCTTATATACCTCTTACCGAAGTCAACACTGGTCTGAGATTTGATTTTATAATTTATAATAATTATATTTATAAATTGCTGTTTCTTTGGCATCAATATTTTAAAAAAGTAGAGTGGATACTAGAGCGGTCAAAATTGTCAAGCGCCGGATGGAAGTTTATAAATATGCACAATATGTCTATGTCTATAACTTTTTAAATATTTGACATTAAGTAAAGCACTTAATGTCCTCTATGACTGTAATGCTCTGATGGACGACACTTGTAATTTGTATATTATACAAGTATTACAGACAGTGTATTCTAAACGACATAAATAAAGATAACTTTATCGAAAAAATGAAATATGAAGAATGATTTCTAAGGGAATGGTTATATTTTCCGATATAGAGGGAATTAAAGAAAAAGTTATTGGAAAAAACCTACAGTCAAACGACTCTTCATATTGTACAATTTAAGTAAATACCAATTTTTAGTCTAATAAAACTTATGTTGGTTTCCGAACATATTTTTGCATATTATAACCGATTCAAAATGTTTGTGGGGTCGCAACATTCTCTTTCTCATAATACCTAATTATGCTCCCAACTTTATTTTAAAGGAATTGCACCATTCTCTTGCGGTCATTCTCTAAAGCAGCTTTTTTTCCATTTAATGGAGATGAAGTCTTTTTATTATAGTTAAGTTTTTAATGATCACAATCTCTTTCTTAGACATAAGGTTAAATAAACAATAAAAGAATATTTGTAATATTAACCAAAAAATATATTATAAAACTATACAAACAGTAAGTAGTACATCGACTATAAAAATCATTTTCTTAAATAATCAACAAATAACTTGAATTTCTACATTAAATATAAATTTAGATTCTAAAATTGTTTATCAAAAGATTGAGTTGACAGAATGTACATATTCTGTTTATTAAAACCGTTAATGAAAAGGCATTGAATTAGTAATTATATTACAAATTATAAATGCATATCCTTAAAAATAATGAAATGCTAAAATATACTTCAAAAAAGTAGTCCTGTGAAATCGTTTAATATGAACAGCAACACAATTTGTTAACCGGTATTTACTTGATGACCGGTTTCGGGATGTAGACCCAGCTGTTCTTGGAATAATAAATGCTTATAATTGCATGTCTTTAAAGAATACTATTCAGATAAGACCAACTGTTTTGTATGTTGGCAGTTCTTAGACCATTTTCTTAGCCAGTAAGCAAACATTTTCCAATGTAACATCTTTTGGAACATAGTAATTAAGAGAAGCCTCATAACCATTTTTTCGCAAATATTCTAAACGCGCATGGTCCAGCACGCGTTTACACATAAAACCAATTTCCTCACGCTCAGCAAGCGTTAAACGTAATTTGTTTGGTTCGGATACATCAATATTGGTATCTGCTTCCTTCGTAACAATAGAAGTTTCCTTATCAGTAAGGAGTTGTGTTGCTGTAGCAACCACTGCTTCTTTAATAGTTTCTTTTGTTTTACCAATAACTTCTTCTGTAACACTACCATCTTCTTCGCCCGTAGTTTCTGATAATATTGTATCAATCTTATCATTATTCTCGGTAGTTCCTTCCTCGGCTGAATCAAGAGCACGCTCCACTCGTTGTTCTAATTCACGCCTTCGCTCTCGACTCATGCCAGTACCACAAATAGCCCAACCAACCATTTTAGTAATAATTGCAAATTCTCTAGGTATGATATTGTGCCTCTGACAGAATTCTTTACCAACAAATGAACGCCATTCACAACGATGATGACAACAAAGTGCTATCATAATAAACTCTGTAGCCTTAACAGAATTTGTAGGTTGCAATATACAACGTAAAGTTAAATCTGTCGCCGCACCACACAGATGCTTAGACACAGCAACGGTACGCGCCGTTTTCGTCAATAAATCCAATCGGTCCATATAGAAATCGGCAATATCGACACGTATACGTTTTACTAAGGAACGATCCTCTATTTTATTATCTTTTTTATGACGCAATGACATACGATCCAACAAAATCACTTGCGAATTTTTGTAATCTCCCAACAATTGTGCCAAGTAATAAGCCAGTTGCCCTTTGCCAGCACCAAATTCGACAAAACTGGTAGAATTTTGTAATTGCTCTTTCATATCCAGTATGCCAAGTAGTGCTGCAGTTTGCTCTAAATGTTTTCTGGTCTCTTTACCATAAGTTTGATTTGCCAATTCAGCATTCAATATTTTGTGCTGCGTCTGCAATGTTTGAATTTGATTAACAACATACATTTTGTATAATGATTTTATTTTGTCTATAACAGCTTGCAGTTCCTCTTCTGCCAGTTCACTTAGTTTCAAATGTCGGTAATCAAGCGCTTCAGGTGTCTCATCACCTGCGTTTAGGGCCTTTTGTATGTAAGCAGGTTCGTCATTTTTCTGGCGAGCATTACAAATTTTTAAATGTTTATACAGATTTTTACTATAAATCGTGTGTTTACTGTCTAGCGGACAAGGTATTCTATTACCTGTTAAAGTTGTCGTTTCCTCGTTTGTTGCAGGCTCATGTTCACCACAATATTTCTTGCCATGTGCTAAAGTCATCTTGCAAAAGCGCTTCTTGCGCTGCACCCAATGTGCACATCTTTGTTCCGCCTCATTTGTTGAGTTAGTTATTTCAGTAGAATTCATCATTTTTGGTTTTTTAGCAACTATTTCTACTTCACTCATATTATTTACTAAAATAAATTAAAACGAGATTATTTATTTTCATAATTCCAAAAAAACTTGGTGCTGTCAAAAAAATACGAAACGAGTGACATTTAAATATCTGCTCATAAACATAGCTCAGAGTTGTGGAACGAAATGAAAATGAAACAAACAATTATTTATGTTTTATGTATTTATTCCTTAATATATACCAAAAAATAAATTACACTGTACTGGCTATATAAGCCCTTGAATAAAGTAAGATTATACGTTAAGTAAAAATAAAG